GGTGTTGAAATGACATGTAGGATGTGAGACCTCACACAGAGCAGCTTCCTTTTGATTTGAGGGAAACAGCAGGTATGTGCCAGGCACCTCTGAGACGGAGCACCCAGAGGCCAGCACCTGCCCCATCTGTGCTCTTGAAAGACAGATGGTCAGTATGGAAAACAAATGGGAGGCCCCTGATGGTGTTAGTTCTAGGTGTTTCTACAACATTACTGTTTCCCCTCGAGCCCACAGCCAACACCAGGACTCCAAAGGTTGGTCTCAAAGGACTCAAAGAGGAAAGATATTGTATCTTGACTAGGTTTGGGAGACGCCACGTCGAGAATCTGGTGGACTCGGCCCAAGTGTTCCCAAGGTGGAGACAAGGGAGTTTAGAAGATGTGGCACATTTACATGATAGTCAAGAAGAGTAGTCTTGTGCTAACTGGTCTGGGTTCACAGCACACATACTGGCTGGGGCCAAGTTGTTGAAAATGTGCCTTGTTTTCTTCATCTGCAAAACAAGGGTAGTGATGTTTCTATCCCTAGATTGGTGCAGGTAGAAGTGAGGGTATTAAATGAACTAGTACGTGTAAGGGTTTAGAGCAGTAAAATGTGAGCTGTGATTATTTCAGGTGAACTGCTAGACTTCTCCCTGACCCCAGGTCCCAGTGATTGTGCTCTCAGCATGGGTAGCGGGTGAGGGAGAGGGAAGAGAAGGGTCTGAATTTACTCCATGCCTGGCAGCCCCAGGGGCCTGTCCTGCGTCCTGTTGGCCCCAGTCTGTTGCTGGACTCCTGTCTGTGCCTCAGTAACATAACAGACCCACCTTCTCTTTCAGCATCCTGGGGAGTCACACCGAAGTCAGACAGATTATCTAGCTCTCTGAGACAGTGTGCTGGATAGAGGACCACGCCAGCTTTAGTCACATGGCAAATCCTTAGGGTTCTTCCTGGAGCCCACTCTGTTCCGCAGACAGGAGTCAGCCGTGACTCACAGTATTCAGGTGGTGCCTGGGCCTTACTCACCTGGCACCTCTTCCTCTAACACCTGTGATCCAGTAGTCACTGTCTGGACTAGGCCTTCTTATTCCCGTTTAATCTCTCCCCTCCTGTCTTTCTTCCTTTACTACTTCCCTTACTCCCTACTTTTGATCTCACATTGAATAGATCTTAGCTGATCTTCCCTTCAACTTGATGGATAATGGAGACACGAGACACCCACACCCTGCCCTGACTGATCAGCAGACAGAGAAGGCTTCTGCTAACATTAACATGGAGACATTTCTGGGGTCTCGCAGTTGTTGTTGTTAAGTGCTGTCGAGTTGGTTCTGACTCATAGCGACCTGAATAAGGTTTCTGAGGAGCTGCTGGTGATCTTGAACCACCCACCTTGCAACTTTGCAGTCTAGCTCTTTAACCCACAGCACTATACCAGTTGTTGTTGTTGTTGTTATGTGCCGTGGAGTCGGTTCCGACTCATAGCGACCCTGTACAGGTGCCTCAAAAAAAGACCTCCCCTCTTAAACTGGCTGATGCACAAACTTCCACAGTTTGCAATCTGTTTTAGTGACAGAAGACCCTGGATTCTGTCCCCTGGGAGAATGTAACTGTACCTCAGGGGCAGGGCCTTTCCTTAAGCCATATCATTTATTTACATATTAATGTGAAGCCATTTGTTCCACAGATATTTAGCACCTACTATGTGCCCAGCACTATTTCTAAATATTTAGAATTGTAATAAGGAGCAAAATAGGGGGAAATCTCTGCTTTCTGAGACCTGACGTTTTAATGAGGGGAAACAGATGATAAACGGTAAGGAGGTAGATGATAGAGTTCATTAGAAGGTGATACGGTTGTTGTTAAGTGCCATGGGTCGGTTCTGACTCATAGGGAACCTGTATAGGGTTTCCAAGGAGCAGCTGGTGAGTTTGAACTGCTGACCTTGTGCTTCAAACTGACCTTGCGGTACAGTGCTTTATCCCACAGCACCACACCAGAACTCCAGAAGGCGAAACTACAAACAATATTAATAGTACTGCAGAGGCAGTGGGCTTGGAAGTGCTGGAGGTGGGGGCAGGAAGGAGGCAGGGTAGTGGGTTGTAATTTTAAGTAGGCTGGTCAGAACTGGCTTTCTCAGATCAGAACATTAGCCTTACAGCTAGCCTTACAGCTGTCTGGGGGAAGAACATTCCAGGTGAAGGGAACAGCCAGGACAAAAGTCTGAAGGCAGGAGCAGGCCTGGTAATTTGGGGGCACTTGAAGAGGCCAAAGGAGCCCTGTTGGCACTGTGTGTTAGGTGCTGGACTGTTACCAGTAAGGTTGGCAGTTCAATGCCACCAGCCACTTTGTGGGAGAAAGATGAGGCTATCTGCTCCTGTCAAGACTGAGTCTTGGAAACCAGATATAGGGACCATATGAGTCAAAATTGATACAATTGATGCCAGTAGGTTTTGGGATGAGGAGGCCAAGTGACTGGAGCAAAGGAAGGAGAGCGATGGGGAGGGGAGCTCAGATCATGCAGGACTTGGTAGATTCTCTGTGGGAGCTGTTTGCTCTGGGTACCGTGGGGGCCAGTGCAGGGTTCTGAGCCGAGGAGGGAGAAGTAGGAGCTGCTGTATTCGGACAAGACAGTATGGCAGTGAGGACACTGCTGCAGGAGCTTTTATAACAGAGACCCAGCCAGGAAGGTTGAAGTAGATTCTGGTTACAAACAGGATTTGCAGATAGGTGGATATGGGTGTGAGAGAAACCAGAGTCAGGGATATCATGACCAGCCACTTTCCTGAGCATAAACTCTGGGGGAACCGCGGGTTCTAAAACACAACGGTGGTGTGAGGGAGAGAGGAAAGGGCCCAGAGAGAGGGGCTGGGATGCTTGAGCAAGGTCCCCATTTCCCTCTTGAACCCTGCCAGACCAGCCTTCTGTCTGAACAAATTTTGTTTTAACTTCTAAAGCCTGTGACAGGGCCATGGAGTTTGGGCCACGGTGGGTTGGGGGCGTGTAGGGAGGGACTGGACTGGGTATTTGCAGTGCCCCTTTTGAGGAAAGGCTGACTGGGCTGCCTTTGAGGTCTGCCTAAAGATCCCCCTGGACTTTGTTGGGAGTGGGGGATGAGCATGCTGGCAGAGCAACTTCCATTTTCCTCCTGCATGCCAAGCTGCTTCTGGACCTGCCCTGACCTGTGAAGTCTGAGAAGTCAAACACTGGTTTACCTGGGTTCCTAAGTGAGGGAGGTGGAGGATTTAAAGGGCCTCATCCATTGGCAGTGAGGCCCACCGTGCACCTTGTCTGAGGAGCTGGGGTTGTAAAAGCAGAACTTTTCTGTTAATTATTAACGAGCACTTTGTCACATCCTCTTTCCTGGTGATGGGCAGAGGATGGACAGTTCCAGAAGTGGAAAACTTCTGGGAGGCCTGGAGTTCCAGGAAGTTGGAAAAGTAGAGAGAAAGAGAGCAGTTTGGAGAGCCCTAATCACAGGGATGCCAAGAGTTGACATTACACTGTGGGGACTTGATGGGTATTCTTGTTGGCAGAGGTAGGGCCAGATGAAAGGAAGCCGCTTGTAGTGACACCCACTTGCTGAGTTAACCCAGATTTCATTGGATGATTAAAGGGGGTCAGACATTCACAGTTATTGAGTTATTAATTATTCATCCAAACTTATTGCTTGCTCACTAGTTATAGTATTTGCTGCCCTCCCAGCCCCCACCCCAGCCTTCTAAACTTCGTGTGCTAAATTAGAACGTGAGGCTTAGAAATGTCCAGCTTAATCCACAAAATTCCACATTCTTCCCTTGGTTATTTATCAATTTCAACTCATAGCAACCCTCTCTGGGGTTTCTGACGTAGTCAATTTTTATGGGAGCAGAAAGCCACATCTTTCTCCCGTGGAGCAACTGGTAGATTCAAACTGCTGACCTTGTGGTTAGCGGCCCAGCTCGTAATCTCATATCAGTTTCTTGGACACAATGCCTAGAGGACACTGTGATAGAGAAAGTGTCCTTTAAATAGACTCTTTATGGAAGGATGTGTGGTAGTGTTCCAAAACGATGCCAGTGTTGAGATATGAACTGGGTGACCTTCCAGATTTCTCTCCAAGTCCTCTAGCTCTAACCTGGGAGAATAGTATCCTGTTAGATCAACCTCCCAATTTGGACTTGTTACTCCCTGCCATTGATGATGGCATGAAGCCTAGGAGCCCGCCCAGGGCCCCATGAAGGAAGCTGTGTTCTAAGGTTTGGCGCCAGGCCAGGGGAAGTCTGACTTGCCTTTATTAGTCCAGCTCTGCCTTTGCCTCTGTGTCTTGTGGTCCGGTCTCTTTTCTGGCCCTCCAGGCTGTCACTCCTGACCAGTTAGGGAGGGGCTAGGAAACCAACCCTCCCTGGAGCTGGGGGCAGTGACTCACAGGTAATTACCTGTCCTGGGCGCACTGCCAAGCCTTTGGAAGGAGCCAGAGGGAAGGCATTTAGTTACCTCGTTCATTCCTCTTAAGCTTTCCCAATTCCTTGGTTGAGCTGGAAGCATGGCTCTTTAAGAATCTAAATTCCCCAAGAAACTGGGATTTTCCACCTTGGTAGGGGTTGGGTGTTTTCCAGGGTCCTGGTAACAGGTCTGAGATTGTAATACTCATATACAAGTCCTGTGTTCTCTGCCTCGTCTTCTGTTTGTATGGTCTGGGCCACAGGAGGACATTGAAGCTTACTGGTCTTGGAAGAGTGCCCAAACTATACCTGGTACTAATGTAATTGCCCTTCCCCACCCCAGGTACCCAGGTGTCTACTGATCACTAATTTTTGCCTGGCACTCCTATTAAATATTCCCTCTATGCTCCCCTGCCCCCATGCACCTGAGACAGGTGGGCATTTCCAAGCTTGTTGTAAATCCTCTGGGACGGACCCACTTGCCCAGTCCCGTTCCAGGGTGGGGGTGGGTGGGGGTGCAGTGACGGCAGATGGGCGTGCCAGCTGCCAGATTCCTGAGACCCGCCCTGCAGTGGAGCTACACCCAGCAGGGAGTCTCCAGGGGTGAGGCTTTTGTTTAAAAACTTGGAGCCAGAAGAGGAGACCCCCACATTCCAGGGGAGCTCCTAGAGAGGGGATCTGGAGAAAGAATAGCACCAGCACACAGTGAGGTATGTTACCTGCCTTCACCTCTCCTGTGGAGACTGGATGGGGGAGAAGGACTGTATCTCTGGGTTCCTGGGGCCTGATGGCAGGACCTGATTCATTCCTCTTCCTGGGAGCTCACCTGGGTGAGCTCACTTCTGACATGCTAGCTTAAAAATGTCTGCCACTGTTTGTGTTTCTATTTCACATCTGATAAACGGCTCAGTGGCTTAGAAGAAAGCAGATTCAGATCTAGGACTGAACATGAAAGAGAAGGGGAAAGAGTGGTCTGGTGGGGCTAAAGCTCAGAATGCTCAGTTCCAGAGGATTTCTGGCCAGGGGGTGAAAGAATGGGGAGAGAGCTAGAAAAGAAAGAGAACAGAGTTCTTCTGAACTACTGAGCCCCAGGCCACATCCCCTCCCTGAGACTGACTGACCTGGAAGGGAATTGGCCAGATGACTTTGGAGCATGGTTTAAAGATGCCAGGAATACCCCAGAACCTCTTCTGTCTTGCCTTGCCAACCCCTCACATCCCACCCCAGATAAAGGAGTTTGTGGTTGGCACTGGAGTAGAGTGAGTGTCCACTCCATGGCAGTGCTGCATAGTGCATGAGTAAGGGCTGGCCTGCACCTCAGACCCCAACTGTGGCCTTCAGCATCAACCCCCAGACTCCTGAGTCCCTGCTTTCCCTCCTCCTGCAAGGCCCCAGCCCAACATTGGAGACATTTTGGACTATTTCCAGTTAAGGTGCAATCCTCACTCACTTCTTACAAATGCTGTGTCTCTCCTCATTGTATTTTAGCTACTTGCTTAGCCCAGAGCTGTGGCCACCACAGCCTCACCTCTGGGTGGGCTTGTATGGTATTGGAAACCATGCCAAAGGAGGGAGAGGGTTTACCTCCAGACCCTAAGTCACTTTTAGCATCCACCCTTGGGCTTGTAGGTGGGGTTGGTCCATGCTACAGGTCAGTCCTTTCTTCTGAGACAGCAAGAAGGCCGTGAACCCCACCAAAGCCTCTCTTCTGCAAAAGGCCCAGCGCTTTCCTGCATTCCTTATTGTCCTTATTTATGACCATGAGGGGAAGTGGAACGTAGATTCTCCTTCCCTTCCATTTCAGAGAGGGAAGCTGAAGTCTGGTAAGAGATAGGACTTTCTCAGGGCAACCTCTGAGTCACATGCCACCTGGGACAGGGGCATTTTCCAAGCTTTTCCAAGGCATTTACCTGCTGCCCAGAAGTGTTCTAAATCTAAAACAAGGAAGAAAAGGTGTCATCGCTGTTTACTCAGATTGCATCTCTGCCTTCCAGGTGAGGCCCATTCTGGGGATCACCCCACTGGCTGAAGATGAGGCCACTCTTTCTCCTATTTTTCGGTAAGCATCTCTTTCCATCCTTCCGAGCCCTGTAATATAGCAGGGAGGTGATAGCCGTGAGTAGGAGAAACTTGCCTAACTGAGAATCACCAGTCCCCTTGTGTTTCGAGAACTAGTCTACCGGGGACGCCCATGAGAGTCTCCCACTCCTTTGGGCTTTGGGGAAAGGTGACAGCATCTGCCTCTCTAGGAAGCTTCCCTGTGTCTTATTCTTAGCCTAGGGGAGTTTGTGGTTTCCTGATTGCTCATCACAGTTTATCTCCCATCCTCTCACTCCCAGGCTGGCTCCAACTCATCATGGTTTGAGTTCTTAATTTCCCAGTGAATAAGTAGTTGGGCTCTCACAAAGAGTGACTGGGTCGGCTCTGCAGATAAAGGAACAGAATACAAGCAATTCTCAGTGCTTTCCAAATAGCTCAGCAGTCAGCTTTGCTTCAGGATGCTGATGGAGACCACTCTGTTGAGAACAGAGCTGTAGACCATGTATCCTGGCAGTCCAGCGTGTGTCCCAGCTGGATTCTAAAATCTCCATATGGATGCCATCTTTCAGGGTCACCCATTGTTTTGGGTTGCCAGGTTATAGAATATAAAGCCAGCATTTTTGCTTAAAGGTATCACAATATCTATCAATCTATCATTACTCATTCCCACCCATGAATGGGGAGACAGCCCAGGCCTGCCAACATCAGTTCCCTTGAGGGATACTAGTGTGACCCTTTTCTGAGCTGCACCCAGTACTGTTTATGATTTCAGCCTTGCCCAGCCTCCTGTGTGCCCAGCAAGCCTGTTCCCGAGGGGCCTGCTATCCTCCTGTTGGGGACCTACTTGTTGGGAGGACCCAGTTTCTCCGAGCTTCATCCACGTGTGGACTGACTAAGCCTGAGACCTACTGCACCCAGTATGGCAAGGTAGGTTCTACCTCCATGGGCCCCAGGGTTGGTGATGGGACGAGCCCCCAATTTGTTCGCTAAATACTTAGTATATACTTGATAGCCCAGTCCAATTGCACAGTGGGGTGGGGGTTGTTGTTGTTGTTAAGTGCTGTCGAGTCGATTCCGACCCACAGTGACCCTGTAGAGGGTTTCCAAGGAGCAATTGGTGAGCTTGAACCACCGACCTTGCAGTTCAGACAACTTTGCAGTCTGACGTATTAGCCCAGTGGGTAATGCAGAAAGTTTAGACATGATTCCTGCCTCTCAGGAATTGGCACTTTGATAGGGAGAGTGAAAATGTCCTCAGAATTAGCTGAACATATCTTTTCTCTTCTGCTGGATAAAGTTGAAATGTTTTCTTAGCCTTTGGGTATGGGCCGGACAGTTGTTCAAGGCTTTGTAGTAGGTTGTCAAACAAATAATCATCCTTTAGGTATGTAGACTCCAATGAGCCATCTTTGGTGGGCAAACACCAGGCTTGTGGAGCACTGTCACTGGGATTATATTCTGATGGAGTACATTGGATTGGATCATAGCTACTCCATACTACCATCTTTGTGGCCAGTGAGGGATGCAGGTGAAGACAGACCTAGCAGGAGGTTTTGGAAAGTTTGTGGAAACTTTTAACCTTTTTTTTTTCCAACTTTTTGTTGTAAATTGAATGACAGTTTCAGAGCAGATCATCAGTTTTAAATTCAACAAATCATATACTTTGCTTCATTACAATGATTGCAATTCAACTCCATTTTTCATAGAAGTTTTGAAACCCTTGCATATGATTATGGGCTGGAGTTTACCTCTTATGATGAGTCAACGTACCTCTCATTCTCATTGATCCACATGGTTCACCAAGCCTAGCATGTTGTTAAAAGGCATTGTTGTTGTTGTTAGATGCATTGAGTCAGTACCAACTCATAGCAACCCTATGAAGAACAGAGCAAAACAGTGCCCGATCCTGGACCAACCTCACAATTGTTGCCACGCTTGAGACCGTTGATGATCCATCTTGCTGGGGGTCTTCCTCTTTTTCTCTGACCCTCCACCTTACCAAACATGATATCCTTCTCCAGCGACTGGTCCCGCCTGACAATATGTCCGAAGTATGAGAGACGAAGTTTGGCCATTCTGGCCTCCAAGGAGCACTCTGGCGGCACTAAAAGGCATAGATCAATGAAATAAATGAGGAAGTGGTTTGAGGTTAACAAAGAGGTTTAGAGACTCAATGGATTAGTAAGAAAATGAACTAAACAAATCCGATATCCAAAGACTATGTCAATTAATATTGCCTATGTAGGCAGCTGATTTGTTTCTAAGAACTGCTGTATTTTTTTATCCTCATTGCCTTGGTACATTATTCATAGGAAGTTTGTATCTTGATTAGTTTTTTTTTTGTTCTTGTGTTTCTTTTCCCCTCAACAAAGCTGTGTTCTTTCTTTGCTTCTCATGTTTATCAAGGTGGAAACCACTCATTGTTTTCTTATCTCTCAGCTGCCTGTTTCATTTGGCCCCTTTTCTTCCCTTGAACAAGAGACTAGACGACAGCGTGGTTTACCATAATCTCTGCACTCTTTGGGGAAAAATATATAGAGCGAAATCGACAAGTGAGAGAGATGACTTGCCATGTGGTTTCCTCTTTCCAGGCTGCCCTTGTCCTCAGGCCCTTGGAAGATGGTATCTGATACCACCTCTGGGTCTCACTGCCCTCCCCTTCTAATCCCTGTGTTCTTGTGGCTATTTTAAATCACAGAGGCTACTGGGTATTGTAAGGTGCTCAGGTAGCATAGTGGTTATGAATCGGGCTGTGAACCTTAAGGTCAGCAGTTCGAAACTAACAGCTGTTCCGCAGGAGAAAGATGAGGCTTTCTGCTCCTGTAAAGATTTGCAGCCTTGGAAATCCAGTACAGGGTCGCTATGAGTCAGAACTGACTCCACGGCACATAACCACCGCCACCACCACTGGGTATCGTAATGGATTACGAGCTGGGCCGCTAACTGAAAGGTCAGCAGTTCTAATCTACCAGCTGCTCCAATACAGAAAGGTGAGGTTATATCTGACCCCGTAAAGATTTACAGCCTGGGAAACCCTATATAGGGTGATTATGAGTCAGAACTTTTTTGTGGCACACAACCACATCCACCAAACCACAACCATTGGGTAGTGGTTTTGAAGATGTTGAGCAGAGACAGCTGGGTTTCTGCATCTCACAGACTTGGATGGGAAGACCTGCTTGGTGGGGTTGGGTAAGATAATCAGCATCAGGTGAGGACTCCCTGTGGGCCCAGTTACTTCACAAGCATCTGGGATCCTGTCAGTATGGAGCTTTCTAGGCAATTGAATGATTTTTGCTGCTTGCTTCCTTTCCTCCCCTCAAATTCTTGGGCCACTGAGCTCATGTCTAAAAATTTAGGGGAGCCCTTTGCTGATTCCCTTCCTTCAAGGAGGAGAAGCAAGGAGAGGTCAGACACTGGAGTCTGGGATGCCAGATGCAGGGGTGTACCATGGAACTGGTCATGTCTGCACCCTCTCTTCCCCAAAGGCTTTTCTTTCCCCAAAGACTGCATTCTAGCTTGCCCTTTGCCTTTCTTAGCTGCCTTTGGGAGCCAAATGGCCTTCCTGCTCTTATGCAGTCCTCCAAGAGCAAAACAGGGTGCTTGCAAAAGAGAAGTCTAGACTTTGTAGCCCAAGGGATGGATAAATATCAGCCTTTTCCTTGTGGTGAAAGTTAAGAAGCATTGCTTCCCCCCCCCCCCTTCTTTCTATGTTGTTGTTGTGTACCAGCAAGTCGGTTCCTACTCATAGTATAGGGTTTTCAAGAGCGGCTGGTGGATTTGAACTGCCAACCTTGCAGTTACTAGTCCAGTGCTTATCCAACACTGGGTAAATAAATCCAGAGAACCTCTTGGAAAAACTAGAGGATGGAGCGTCTTGAGTGTGGGGTGTAGGCTCTGGTCTGCCAGTAATTTGTGGGGTGAACTTGAACCCACTTTCAGAGTAAATTTCTTCTTCTGCCAGTGAGGGGTCGCTGAGATGGCCTGGAGGGTCTCTCTGTTGCAGCATTCTTTGGGAATAAGTAGACTGCTGGGAAGTAGACTCCTCTTGTCCTCTTCCTCTCTATCTTGTTTCATTTCTTCCCTCTCTCTTTTCTTAGGTCATTAATGTTGCTAATTGCTCTTTAGTCAATTCCAACTCATGGTGACCCCACATGTTACAGAGTGGAATTGCTCCAATGGGCTTTCTTGACTGTAATCTTGACAGAGGCAGATCATCAGATTTATCTTCGGCTGTCCTGGTGTGGCTCTGTTGGCTAATGTGTCAGACTGCAAAGTTATTTGAACCACAAGGTCAGTGGTTCAAGCTCACCAGCTACTCTATACAGGGTCGCTATGGGTCGGAATTGACTCAACGGCACTTAACAACAACAACAATGCTGCTGGTTAGAGACAGGCCCTAAGTCTTCTGTGGGTTCACATTGCCAATGTTTAGGTTAGTTGTTGATGTTAAGTGCTGTTGAGTTGGTTCCGACTCTTAGCAACCCTGTATAGATTTTCCAAAGAGCAAATCTGGTGGGTTTGAAGTGCTGACCTTGCAATTAGCAGTTCAGTGCTTATCCACACCACACTAGTACTCCTTTAGGTTAGTAGTCAAATACAAATAATTTGTACCACTGAGGAACCTTCAAAGTCCATGAGTGGCCGGCAATCAAGACATAAACTAAAAACACAAAAGACTCCCTTCTTGTCCTTTATCAGAGTGTACCGTGAACTCTCTAGGTGCCTGTGCAAGAAAAATTAGCAATGGAGATTTTAACTTCACTTAAAATTTCAGTTTTTAAGTTAGATTTATTTTCTTATTAAATGATACAAATAGTACCTATCATTTATTATTGTAATTTATAATCATTATTATTAAGCAAACATTAGATATCCTAGACATCACATAAAAGGCTTTATATAAGTCATTTCCATGAATTTTCACAGTACCTCATGAAATGGTCATCCCCGTGAGCCTGACTTTAGAGGCTTTGGGCATGTGTTGGAACCCCAAACTTCTAACAGAACCACATGGTGATGGTGTGCTGTGGAGTTGGTTCCAACTCACAGCCACGCTGCATAGGGTTTCTAGGCTGTAAATCTTTATGGGAACAGAAAGCCTCATCTTTCTCCTGTGGAACAGCTGATAGTTTTGAACTGCTGACCGTGAGATTAGCAGCCTGACTCGTACTTAACCACTGCGTTACCAGAGCTCCTTAACAGAACCACATAGGAGTTGCATTTTCTGACAGAATGGTATTGCATGGTCCCAGCTGGGTGGGTATATCACAGAGCTGCGTTCTTAGTGCCCCCTCTCCCCCATCCCCCACTTCACCTTCTCAATCAGCCCCACTCCACACATACAGATGTCCCTTAAGTAAAGTCTCTGGTTCCTGCTTCTGTTCCGTCCAGAATCACCCACCTGCTGCCTGACAGCAGAGATGCAGTGCAATGGAATTTGTGACCCCTGGACATTTCTGTGTTACTCCCTCTGCCCCCTTCCTGTCCTGCTCCAGTTTACTAACAGAGGGGGGACTCCATGGGTGGGAGCTGCAGAAGCAGTGAAGACTCCTTTTAGTTCCAAAAAATGATCCCCTCTCTGCTCTCCACAGCTGAGCATGGCTCCACCTTTATCCTGGGCCAATCTTAGCCTGTGTTTAGGTGACCGCCTCTGCCTCGTTCTGTCTCAGTGGCTAAATTCTGCTGGCTTTGCTGCTATGGATTTTGGGTCCATGTTGCAACCCCTGTAATGGATAGGACTTGGCCAGCTTTGCCTTGTGGCAGCTCCTCTCCCCAGTCTCCCTTTGCCCTTCTGGTCCTGTCTGCCTAGGCTACCCATTAACTGACTGGCCTTGGTCCCAGGCTGTTCTTTATGAAAAGGACCTCAGGCTGTCATCTCACCCTGTCCCCTTGTTTTCTTTTTTCCAAGCTCCTAACTCATTTCA